GAAAACAAGACAAACGGAAGGGATTTGCCATGCCCAGCTCAGTGTTTCAGTGCATCCTTGTCTCCCCTTTGATTCGCAAGAGATGGAGCAAAGATTTCTGCAAATGGAAAGCAGCACCAGGAACCGGTGCAGCTTAGCTTTTGCCTCCACAGCCTAAAAAACCAGAAAGGGATGCTTTGAGAAATACAGTTGCGCCCCCTTGAGTTAATGTCCTGAGTCCGAGGTGAGTGCGTTATATAGCATCTCTTGTTCCCTGCAGGCCAGTTTTCTAACGAGGCTGTTCTTTCAAGAAGAGGGCCAACAAATCCCTGTTACAGAGGACTTCCACCCCACCACCAGCACCAATTTTATCATGCATGCCCTGCCTTGCTATCAAAAAAATTACACTCCAGGCAAACGTCTTTAAAATCTCCGATTGTGAAAATATTCCTCCAATCATATGCTGGCTTTTTTATAACTATTTGTTTATTTATTTATTTAAAACTTTTGTAGACTGCCCCATTACTGAAGTCTCAGGATGGTTTAACAATACAAAATGTAAGAAAAGAAAATATTAAATTAAAACACAGTATCCTAAAATTTAACAATAATAAAACCCCAGTTAAAACCCCAATAATAAAACCCCAATTAAAGTCAGGTCTTAAAACGTTGGGAAAATAAAAAGGTTTTGGTCTGGTGCTGAAAACAATAAAGTGACAGCGCCAGGCAAACCTCTCCAGGGGCGAATTCCACAATCGGGGTGCCACTGCAGAGAAGGCCCTTCTCTGGGTAGTCACCCTCCTAATTTCTTTCAGGGAGGGCACCCGGCGAAGGGCGTCTGCCCCACATCTTAAGGGGTAGGTGGGCACATGTGGAAGGAGATGCTCCTTCGGGTGAGTTCAGTGTCTTATGGATCGGCTTCTTTTGTAATGCGTTTGGCATCAACCCACAGAAATGCTGGGCCCAGGCAGTGAGCAGAGCAGATGCAAAATAGTAGGTCCAACAAACAGAAGTCAATTGCTCCTTATACTCCCTGAGCCCTGCATTTGGGGCTGCAAGCATATGCATTCCACACAAGTCTTTGATCTGGGTGACTGCAGATGGGAGACTCTAACGAAAATCTCTTAAACCGGCCAAAGGTAACTAATTAATTCTCCTGTTTGGGAAAGGAGGAACACAATAGATGAAAAATAAGTGATTGTCAAAGGGTTGGGTTAGACATCTTCCTGGGCAAGACTGCAAATCCGCCAGTGCACTCCAGTTTACCTTATGTCCTGCTTGAAGCCTGTAATATGAATCTGACTGGTTCATATTTGTCTGCCTGGCCTGAAACATGCACTCCTATTTAAACCTATTCAGTCTACGTGTTTGTGCAATTCAAGTTTGCCTTCTTGAGAACCTCGGCTGCTTTGTTCCTCCCCATTCAAGCATGGGACCAGCCCTTGTGACCAGAGAAAAACAAAACTGGAGAGTTATGACACTGGGCTAGCAGAGTCAACAAGTGCGATGTTCACAGGGCAAAGCCTAAGCAAATTCCTAAAAGGACCTTCTTTGCTGTTCAGACGTCCTGTCCATTTATGCCCTTGCAGCATGTGGTTGGGCCTCGGTGGTGCAGCCTTGTGAAGTTCAGCCATAACTCAAAGCCACTTTCTGAGCCTTGGTCACACCCCTGTTACCATGTGTACTAGGATACTGATCCACCTCACAGGGCCGTTGTAAGGGCTCAGTAAAAGGTCAATGAAGTTTTGAACAAAGGAAAGGACCACCTTAATACTCAGCTTTGTAGTAATGAAAGCCAGTTTTCTATTAAGCCTTTTCACAGTGCATTTCTTCCTGTACAAATTTCAGTTCAAGCCTTCTACAGAAATCATAGCCCCACAAAGAAACGTCTCTCTCCAATGGGCCTTTACGATATACAGATCTTGAATATTAAACCCTTGCAGCCTTATTCTAAATGAGTTTATTCTTAGAGACAAGGATGGGTTTGGTTAAACTGAACTCAGAGGATCATGGCTTGAAAATTAAACTGGAACAGTCTTAATGCCTGGGCGGAGGAGGAACCCGTTTGCCAACTGCTTCCCACGTGGCTTTGTCTTTGTGCAACCAGCATCCCAGCAAGGGAGCGAGGCCTGCGATTCCATGGGACCTGCTTCCTAGCAAGCCAGTTTAGGATCACAGCAAGTTTTGTTTTCCTGGCAGAGTTCAGTCATTTTCAAAAATCTCCTCCTGACCTGGAAACATGTGCACAGGCAGCAGGAGAGTGGGACTCTTCTTTGTTCAAGAAGTTTAGTGTTCAAACTGTGATCACACTAGCTCTGGATATTTGAATCCACCCTGCTCTCCAAGAATAAGCTTCCTGGGCCTCACAGCATGCTAAAATGAATGTGTGGTGGACGACAAACCTCCCCCACCCCCCAAAAAGCTTGCTTCTGCAGCAGTAACATTCACCCTCCACTTGTGCGAGAAAAATGGGGCAGGGGAAGAGAGCAGGCAGCTTGTTGGGAAGCAGAACTGTGCTCACAGAAACTTTCTGGGAATACAACTCTGCTTGGAAAGAAGGTGCACACTCTCTGCATGCTTTGCTTTGCCCCCAAATCACTAGAGGGCGAAGATGGTTGCAGCCACTGCAGTAGCTGCAAAGGGAAGTGGCCACTTGACGCCCATGCCTTGCCCTGGGTTGTTCACATGAAGCAGCCTTGCAGTTCTGCATTGCGAAGGATGATTCACAGAAGCAAACCTGCTACTACTGACCTCAGCCAGGGAGTGGGGAAGAGAACAATGAAGGAATCACAGAATGGGAAGCTTCCTTTGTGTCAGCTCTGACTATTTGTCCTTCCAACCCAGCACTGTCCACTCTGGCTGGCAGTGGCTCTCACCAAAGTTCTCCACGCCTGGACCAGGGATCCAGCAGTCAAAGCTGGAACCTTGTCAATGGGAAGCGTGCGATCACGCAAGCTCTGATCTTGCGGCACCACAGGAACGGAACACGTGGTCTCCCTCTGTATGTTCCTGGGTCAGTAATAAAAGGTGTGAGAGGGAGAGGACCTCAGGGTTGAGAAAGACCTCCACACGTGGCCTTGGAGGTGTGTTGATGAAAGAGGCGACAGAGCTAGAGGGACGGGTGGGTGGTCTAACACAGCAGTGTAAAGCAGTTTCATGCATTCACTTTGAAGAATCCACAAGAAGCTTCCAAGCAGTTTGAAAACCTCTTGTAGATATGTAAAAGGAGCAGGTTCTCTTCTCACAGATCCTGCAAGTTGCAAACAACAAAAGGGAAAATCAACCAAACCTCATGACTTATTGTAAGCTGCCCCTGGGCATTTGACGAGTAGGCATGTCTGAACCTGTCAAGCTCAATTTCACTCAGTCTGCCATTTTTCCCAATGCTGCATTCATTCTGTTCCAATTTTGCATCAGATGATGGTAGGCTTTTGTACCCGGCATGGAAATGTATACACAGATTCATGCATTTTTTAAAAAGTTGCAAACACACACACTTCTCCCCTTGAAAAAGCATTTTTGTGTAGTTCACTTCATTTTTATGCACATCTTTATACACCAGACCAAAAGCTATGGAAATGTTTGCGTTTCAGCACAAACTACGTTCCAGTTCAGCAAATGCAAATCCAGTAAGGTCACACTGAAATGAGAACTTAATGAATTTCTTGCCCATTGTCAGACATTAGTACAAGCTTCAACAGCAAAGCCTGCTTTCCAAATCATTAAGGGAAAGCCTTGATTCCCACTTCTGTGCACTTCAACAGCACAGTGAACTAGCCAGATGGGGAAGTAGCCACTGGAAAAAATGGGACACCCCATGCTGAATTCCGGGAACTTAATAATACAGAGAACACAGTGGCTCTACATTAGATGAAGCTTTTCTTTTAGTGCTTGCTCATTCCGCTGCAGCCCATGATAGAATTAGCCACCTGCATGGGAAAAACACAATTTCTTACAAAACCAGCATGGAGAGAACTGGCTGTTCTTATGGAGATTCTCTTTTGCAAGCCCACCCTTCAAGGAGGACGACAGATTTCAAATTACTCTTTTTCCAAACATAGTGAAAGTAGACGAAAAAGAAAGCAGGTCACTTTGACACCAACATGAAACGAGACCCTGCAAAATCTAGTAGACAACACTAGAATGGTAGCAAAAAGCAAACAAGCAAGGCTTCTAACGTGGTCTGAATTAGGTCTTCATTTCAGGCTGCTGCTGTGAAGATACTGCATATTTAAAAACAACCCCCCTGTGCAAAGATAGGCTGGGATTCTTCAGAGATAGGCAAGTGTCTGTGCTGATAAAAGAAGCAGCCATATGAAGAATTTAGCAGAAGTTCTGGGTTTTTATTTGGATGTGGGGGAGCCTTAAAGTCTAACCCTATCCCACCTGGATTTGTGCTTAGTGTCATTTTAGAAGAAATATTTTCTTTGCTTCTAAAGTGATAGATCGAAGAAAGAGCTTTGCTTTACCAGTGGTGGGTACAGCAGTAACCCCATAGAAGGGATACCCAGTCAGCCTGGAGAAAACAAGAGAGATGCCCCATTTGCAAAAGGGAATTTCTAAGCCTGTCCTTGCAGGAGCATTTCAGCCAACTCCTGCTTGCTGCTTGCTGCCATAATGCCTTTCCGTGCCCCTTCGAGACTGCAGAAAGAATGATGTGGTCCAAAAGGGTCGATAGTGAGAGTAGCAGAGCAGTGAACACAACAGGAAAGATGGCATCTTCCCAGTGCTTATACCCTGCAAAATGCCCCCCATTCACATCAGGGGACATGCAGGAAGTTGGGGGCCTGGTGGTTCCCCCATGGAGGCCTCAGCTGCTGGCCAAATCAGCACTAAAGTTGGGGTGAACTCCTAAGAAGAACCCCCCACCCCAAATTCTCCACCAGGGCTAGAGGGAGAAGATGCAGGTGGTCCCATTTTGGCCAAACAGTCTTCACAGTTGCAGTGCCCTTGATGTGTGAAATGCAGACACACAGAAAGATCCCCTCCCCAAACCCCCCCCCCCCCCCCCCCCCGCCCCCATACAATCTGGTCAGCCACCAAAACTTCAGTGAGAGCTTAACCCCAGACCAAGAGCCTCTCGAATGCAGGACCCTCTTCTTTTGGCCCCCGTGAGCCAGGTGCCTCCAAGGCTCAAAATTTTCCCACAGTGCTGCTGTTCAACCTGTAGGAGGGAACTTCAAACAGCGCAGAGCAGGGATGGGAGACCCATGGGCAGCCAGCTGTGGCTGGACTCCAGCTCCCATTAGCCCACTGACAAGGAATGTTGGGAGCAGACACGTCCAGAAACAACCTAAGGCCACCGGGTTCCCCACCGTGGCTTACACCGATTGGCAAACCTGATTTCTGTGAATTTCTCCAATCCCCCTTTAAAGCTACCGGCTTCATCCTATCCTGTGGCAATGAGTCCTGAAGGTCGATGATGCATTATGTCCAGGGAGTAGGGAAAGTGCCTGCCTTCCCCCTTTCAAGATAGCATTCCACACTTCCGGCCGTGGGTCCCATTGCCCAGCCACAAGCAGAGGGAAATGTCCTCAGATGCCTGAGCAGGGACGCAGTGATCCAACTCCCCAGCCAGAGCTGCAGTGTGTCAGTGCAAGAAGAGAGAAAGAAAAGAAACCTTGCAAAGCAAGCCAGAGAGACAGCTCAGTTCCGTCCCTCTGAGGTCGCCAGGAGAAAGCAGTACGAAATCTGACGGTCGCCAGTTATTTGGGGTGCCTGGCAAGCCGGGCCTGCTGCAGCCAGAGCCTCATGTAGCGGACCTCCAGGAGGCGCGCTTGCAGCACCGAGGCAGGGTCATAAGGGGTGTTGGAGCGCAGGTCCAAGTGATGGGCTCCTTCCGGGATCGTTATGGTGATCAGAGAACTTGTGATGTTCTGGGTGACTCCGCCCCCCGACCAGGGGTCCAGCCCGCCGTTGCTGGAAGGGAAAGGGAGAAATAAGCACCACGCCTGCATGTTGGGAACCTAGAGACACGACGACAGCACAGCTGTGCCACCCCTAAACCTCCACCGTTGGGTAGTTCCTTCTTGCACCATCCGTCAGCCCGGGGCCTGGAGATACTGCTCCATCACTGCGCCACTTGGATCCTGTTTCTGTACAAACTGATCTTGGCTGAAAAGTGAGACATGAATAGCGTAAGATCGCAGGAGTAATTCTAGGCGCTTGAAGCTCTCCACTCCCACGTAGGCAGGTGTGGGACCAAGTCGGCCTCTTCCAGGCACACCTTCCCTGCAACCAGCAAGCTGTGCAAGCAAGCAGAGGGATGGGGAGGGAACAGTATCACCTGCGCCCTACTGTGAGGGGCTATTCCTCTTTGCATTGTGTTCCAGAGGAGCAGTGAGGGCAAGGCCCTGCCAGGGATTCTGCAGAGTGGCTGACATTTGGAGAAGATGATACTGGCCTTGAAGGACCAGGCCTTGGGATAAGGCAGCTTCATGCAAAAGTGGAGGAGCCCCTGGACGGCGCTTGCTTCCCTGCTCCCTGCCCAAAAGTCCACTCAGTTCCGACTGCCACTTCTCTGGCCCCTGCGAGGCTGAATGGAAGCACACTCTGGCCCCCACCATCAGCTGGTGGAGCAGGGGCTGCCAGGGGCCTGCTGTCCCTGGCCTCCCACGAAGCACATCCTGTCAAGCGAAGCCCCAAGGGCTGGCTGGCTTCTTCCCTCCTGCTCCTTTTTCCTTTTGTATTGTGCCTTAGGCTTTGCCCACAGGCTCGGCATTGATTTTGCCCTTTCAGATCTGTGCAGTGCTTAGGAGGATTAAGTCCTGATGCCGCATCTGACCTACAGCAGCATCGACTGGACAGGCCTTCAGGACGGGGAGGCAGATTCCCTTTGGGGAAGGCAACTGCTGTGAGTCAGAATGCTTCCATCCTGGCTCAATGGCCGAGGCCTTCAGCCATGCTAGGAGGAAGATGCCAGTGGGGGCATTGCCAAACACAGCACCCCAAAAGTGGTTGGCCAGAGGAAGGCCACATAGGAAAAACACCAGTTATACTGTCCCAGAAGGGAGGGGGAATAAGCACAAAATGAACTTTGTGTACCCCACAGCTAAGAAGCTAGCCTGACCTCGAATACAGTAATCAAAGGGACGGTTCTAGCTGCCATGGAAGTTGCAAATGTGGAGGGAGTAAGAACATGGCAAGCCCATGTGAATCTCAAGCAGATACGAAATAGACATGGGAAAGAAATGTCTGGTCCTTGACAGAAGAAAGGACTCTTTGAAGCTAACAGCAGGGGTGTATATGTGCAATGATGCATTAGGTGTGTATTAGGTGACCTAATTGCTCACATAGGGTATAAAAGGCACATACAGGAGTGTGACTTTTGAGACTCTGTTCTGGGAGCTTCATTCCCCTCTGTCTCCGTTTATTCTAAAGTGCACTAGAATAAAACTGTTTTGGCTCCAAGTCTCGTCTCAGGCTCCTTCTGGCTTGGGGTCCGGGGCCCACCCAGGTTCATTCGAGCTGTTGCCCAGTAACAGGGGTAAGGGGCGGGCTCTCATTTTGCTGACCTGCCACTCAAGGGAGAAACTGACAGGCAGGAAAGCACAGGCTAGCCAAGGCTGAGAGGAGGAGGAAAGTGTTCGAGATGAAACGGAGGCAGGGAACGTGGAGCAACAGGCTCTGCCCTCCAGTTTTCTTTTCTTTTATGGAGGGAGGGGATCCATTTGTGGTTTTGTTTGGATGCCACCCTTCTAGACAAAAGTCATCATGTCTTTCCCAAGGCATCCCTGGCTCACAGAGTTTGAACGCAAGAAAATCTTGGACAGAGGGAATTATTATGTGCAGAAGTGTCCTCCTGCTGGCCAAAATCCCAGCTCCCTCCCTGGAAGAGTTCCGAGCCACTTCAGCGACAAGCCCTGCCGGTTCTGAACAAGATTCCTGCCGTGCCCAGCGCGAATGTGAGCAGATGCTTCAGCAGCCCACCTGAAAATGATGTTGCTGTGTGTGCTAATGTTTTTCCCCCCGTAGAGAGTGGGGATCCAAGAAGGGCGAGGCCTCACTCCCCAGACCTTGAAGCATTCTTCTGAGTATGCGTGGAAGTCCCACTTCTGTGGCTCGAACATGTCGTTGATGCCATCCGAGCACATGGGCATGACCATTTCGGTGCAAGCCTGATGGAGGAGCACACGGAGAAAGGCAACCATTTACTCCTTCCTTACACAAGCGCTTGGATATCTCCAGTTCTAACACATGCAACATTGCCAAATCGGCGAGAAAAAAGATGGCAGGTCCCACACCAGTTTCTCACATTCCCAGTTGTGTCTGCCCACAGTTCCAAAAAAGCTCGGGGACAAATTTAGAGGGGGGGTGGGTGGGGAGAAGGCTTTTCCCCCTATATCCTTGCAGAGGTAACCCAGCTTCTTTCATCTCACCTGCTAGGAGATCCTTTTAACTGAAGAGGCAAGAATTGACCCAGAGCCCTTTTAAATGCACACAGAGAGAACACGCCCAAGCCACAAACTCCACTTTTCCAGCAGTTGTGCAGAAATGGTGGGAAACACACACACCTGATAATACCAGCCCTGAATCCCAAGGCTTTTGGTGGCAGTCTGAGTCATGTTAAGGCATGACACACCGCCTGTGTAGTTGTAGTAGATGTTGACTGCCTGGAAGATGTTCTGCAGCAAATGCTTGTCAGGCAGTTTGGCATTTTTTAGGTAACGACACACTGCCTGCAGAAAGACAGAAAAGGAGAGGGCTCTTAAGAGTCCAGAGAAAGCAGAGATTAATGGTAGTTGCTAAAAAAAACAACCTGCAGACAAGGTAGTATTTTCCACAGCCAAAGTTTCACTCCAGTCAAAGAAACCACACAAATGGTGAAATTACTCTTGGCCTGTGCTGTCATTGCTCATCCACCAGGATCTTCCTGGGGTCTTCCTGCCAAGCATCAGCGATCTGACAACACACCAAGTGCAGATGTGTGCAAAGATGGAGGTCTGTAGCCATCCTTTAAGGAACAGGGAGAACATACACGGTGCTTCTTTATTTTAGTTATTTAGAATTTTTTTTATGCAGGCTTTGAGGGCAAAGCCCTCTCAAGGCATCATACAGGATTGTTAAAAACCCATGCAATAGTCTACAGATAGCAAAATTAAATATATATAATAAATTACTACGAATGAGTATAAAAACAGTTATATCGTCGGGATTGGTACGGAGAGACAGGATTTCCCCTCCTCTCAAAAATCAAATATGGACAACAGGGTTTGCTACCTTTCTTTTAAAAGGTTCAACACATCCACAAAGGATGCAAGCCATGAAAAGCAAATGGAACCTCCATGGTCAGGGGCAGCCTCTCTCCAAATGGTGGGGGCAGACTGGAGGGAACGGTTGCGTCCAGGATTTGGTTTTTATCTGTAGGTGGCCAGGAACCATCTGGCTAGCTGCAGCTAAAAATCAAATGCTGAACAGATTTTAACCCACTCAAGGCAATTTTATGGTGTCAGTTTTCTTTCTGAAAGGGCAACTCTGGAGTTGATCCAACCCACCTTCAACCAATATATACATGAGCTAGGCATGAGGGCTATCCTCGCCTGGATTTTCTCCTTGGGACAGTAACCAAGGAATCAAATTGGGAAGAAGGTCTCAGTCCGATCTCCTGATTCAGGGAGGTTCCGGTTACTGAAAATAGTGGAGAGAAGATATGGTACCACCCCTGAATGGTTCAGAACTTTGTCCCCAGAAGTTTAGAACTTGTAGTCATTTCTTCTTATGATGGAAAACCTTGCACAGCCCCTCAGCGATTCCAGACAAGGAGGTACAACTTCTTCGTGCTACTCCAGCCTTTGGAACACGGCTGCTGGGTCAGAAAATGCTCCTAGGCATCCTGGGCAGGCTGAGAGTGGGTTAATATTTTGCTTTTGTACACAGGAGGGAAGACTCAATGAGACACGATCTAGCAGACCAGTGAGGAAGAGGCGGTGCGGGGTGGTTCTGACTACTTCTACAAGCATCTCTGGGCAGGAACCAGCTCACTCGGAGCTCTGCAGGCTCTGGGCAATGGGGCTGGGAGGGAGTTAATCACTTATTAAAATGACTTCTAGCCTTTTCCAGTCCACTGAGCAGCCTCTTGGCTGGAAAACCAAAGGTTCCCCAAAGCTCCTTTGCCAGCACAGATGCGCCACATGGAAGTTAAAGAGTGACCCTGGGGGGCAGCAACCTTTATGGAAAGTAGTGGGGAGAAAATTCCCCCCCACCCTGCTTCCTCAAGGGGACCACACCCCCCATTCCAGAAAAGGATTAGGCAGAGAAATTCAGCTGTTTGCAAGCTCTCAATACACCCCTCACTCAGGATAATCACATTAGTTTTCTCACCGAGGCCCCCACTCTGTTTCAAAAGAAAGAAAGGGAACAAACTTTCGCCACCCAGAGAGGCTGCATACACTTTTTTTTTTCAAGTGGGGGAGAGGAATGAAGGGGAGGGAGCCATCTTAGGTTTAGGTGCTGGTGGCCTGGGGTGGCTGGTCAAAAAAAAAAAAAAAAAAAAATCAAGACTCTCTCCCTTCCCTCCAGTCTGCAAAAACTCACAGGCTCCCTTAACAGACGTTGTAGTTTGAGAAATCGTTGTGAACGGCTCAGAAAGCTTTAGCTGTTGGGCGGGAAAAACCAACCAACAAACAGGCCTTAAGAAGCCAGCAGGGAGGGGTACAAAAAACAGGGAAAAAGCGCTTATCAGTCTGAACAGACCAGGATTTAAATCTGCCTTGCAGAAAACATTATCAGAACAGAACCCTGGATGTCTTAGGGCCTAAAAACTGGAAGGAGTGCGTGCTTGCTTGCTTGCTTACTTTTCTATACCGTCCCATCGCAGACATTTCAGGATGGTTTACAACACCATTAATAGAATAAAAATAGAAATAAGAGTAGGGGTGGCACAGCATCCGATGCTGAGTATAAAACCACCACTTAAAACAAATTAGCAATTAAAATATTAGGAGAATAAAAAAGTTTTCGCCAGACGCCGAAAGGAAAAAAGCGCTGGCACCAGGCGAACCTCTCTGGGGAGCGTGTTCCACAGTTGGGGTGCCACCGCAGAGAAAGCCCTCCTCAGGGTAGTCGCTGTCCTGATCTCTTTCAAGGAGGGCTCCTGGAGGAGGGCAACTGATTCAGATCTCAAGGGGTGGGAGGGCACATAGGGGAGAAGGCGCTCCTTCAGGTATTCAGGACCCAGGCTGTTTAGGGTTTGAGACCAAAGGAGCCTGCTAACACCTTTTAACTGTGGAGGTGGTCCTTGGCATGCTTCCCCTGAAGGTAGTTAGCAGGCATGAAGTCAGGGCCTTCTCACACAATACCCGGGTATGTCTTTGTTTCTTCTCATGGGCAAAGGGCTTGTCTCTGTTTTTTTCCAATACAGCAGACTTAGCTCACTCAAGAAAGCACTTCCTTAAAATCGTTTTCCACCACCAGCTTTAGGCTCACATCTTCATTTGCGGTTTTCTTGTGTGCACACAAGCTGCCCAGATTTGGCACTAGAAATTATACTTGCCCCTTCTTAAAACACAAGCATCTTTAAGCACCAGTTAATGCTTGCATTTGGACCAAGGGTGAGAATGCATCGTGCCACATCATCTAGAGAGCCACAGCTCCCATCATCCCTCAGCATTGCTGATGCTGGGTAGAACAGATGGGAACTGCAGTCCAACATCTAGAAAGTCACTTGCCTTCCCCCTGCTTTGCACTGACTAGTGGCAAACTTCCAGAGTGTCAGACGGGGGACTTCCCCAGCCCAATCTGCAGATGCCGGGCCTTGAACCAGGAGAAATTCTGCATGCAAAACATGTCTTTTCCCACCAAGTTACAAACACCTGAGTTACAAGCAACCGGTACTTACAAATGAACTGCTATAAAGCCTATTAATTTTTAAAAATATAGCAGAAAGTTGTCAACACCTCAGAGAGGAAGTGAAAGAGGAGAGAGGGAAGCCTCCAAAACATGGCTTTCTGACCCACCCATTCAGACAGGGAAGTCCCTCCAGCATTTCCTTGCTGCAAAGAGGAGGCACTGCTGAGTTTGGGTGGGGGGGAGGGAAAGATACTCATAGTTTCCCACTTTCATGGGGGTCCTGTGCCCCTGGCCGACTATGGATGATCCAAAGTACATACAAATTGGACTTGAAGGCAAGTTTCTATTTTCTCAGAAACAGAACTTATTTGTAACCCAGGGACTGCCTGTACTTCATAGGGGAAAGCAACCTGTGTTCAGTTTACCTGAATAGGCCAGGCTGGGAGAGGCTGCAAGAAATCAGCCTTATATGGGTAGTTGGCCATGGCCAAGTTCACCCAGGTCTCACTCAACCACGCTTTGAAGATGGCCGCGTCCACCACAGTTTTCAGTGGGCTGCACAGGTGAAATGCACAAGAAAGCCAACGTAGGCCTTGCTCTAAGGGAAGAACACACAGGTTAGAATGTCAACTACTGAGTTAGCATTGAGTTAATCCGCCAAAGCGGTGCAGAGATGGGGCAAACACGGGCATTAAGTGGGATGGTGTAGCTTGGCGTCCTGCAACAGCACGGGGTGGAACCTGATGTCCTCCAGGGTCCCTTCCAACTCTGCTATTCTACCATTCTAATGGCATTGAACTACATAAACACAGGAAGCTGCTTTTATCTCAAGTCAAATAGTCCATCCGTGCTCAGGCTGGCTTCTTATTGGCAGCGGATCACCAGTGCTAAGCCCTCGTGTCCCTGAGCAATCACGAGCCTACTCCCGTATGCCTAACCCATTCTGGGTTCCACTGCTCAGTCACAGTAAAGCAGGGTGGAATGCCAAGCCTGGGGCACATGTGTGGAAAGATCTGCCTTCCTAAGCGACATTCAGCCCCAGAGCAGTTTTAGGCAGCTCCCTATGACTTCACTGGTCTTTTTTGTGGTGGTTGGTGTCTTTTAGGTCCAAAGTTAGTTCTTAATGAGATTTTATCTTAACAAGGTAGTTCCACTTTGCAGCACTGGGGACAGAGGGAAGATTGCAGAACTCCCTCTCATGAGCTCGGTTGGAACCGGCTGCTATTTAGCTTTCCCCCTGCCAGAACATTCTTCCCCAGTGCTGTTCCACACAGCCCAAAAATTCCTATAATTTATGGAGGGAGTGTGCTGCAGTCCCCATGCCTTCCCCCCATTCCTTTTATTTCGTGTCTTTTAGACCATAAGAGTGCTGGGAGGAAACGTATTTTTAAAGCCTAGTATAGTGCCTAGAAAATTTAGGCACTTGATACACAATAATAAAAGGCACAATAATGAAGGACACAATTCTAAGCGAACATAAAAGGGAGACAACTGCCTCATTCAGAGGGAGACTCTTGGTCCATCTGGCCCAGTACAACTGGCACTGACTGGCAGCCGTGGCTTGCCAGGATCTCAGGCAGGAGACCTGGGCATGCGGGAGATGCCACCCACTGAACCAGGCCTTCCCCACACACTTTGACTCCTGAGCTACGCCCTCTCCTTACAACGCTGCCCTCCCCAGGTTTCCCCAGTGTTAGCCCTGCGCTGCTTAGCATTTACATGTGCCTCAAATGCACCCGGCCACCGCCGTGCCTGAACCCACGTGGTCTTTCATGTGAGTGTCTGTGCGGCACATACTTGAGGGGGCCATTGTGTGTCTGGCCCCCGTCTGCCACAAGGGAATTAAGATCAACAGCCACACTGGAACGTGCTGCATTGAGGAGCATTCTAGCCTCCCCAACAGAATCATTCCTTCATCTTCCAGCCATTCCGCGCTGCCGTTTTTCCCCTCGAGAATGTTCCCCAACTTCTAGACCATGATTCAGGTGGGGGGAGGGTGTGGGGCTGGGCACAGAGCAGGGTCCGAGAGACAAAAGGTCTTGCTTCATTCTGGACAGGGGTTAGTATAGTCTTTGCCAGCTGCCCACCAGAGGAAGAGAGACGGTCGATGGCTGCCCAGGAGTTCCGGATGCTTTCTGAACAACCGTCCCCACTGTTTTTGAAGTCTTGGGTCACAATGCTATAAAAGGTACCACAGGGAACCAGGTCGTCAAACTGCCAGATGGGGGCTGAGGCGGCAAGAGCTCTGTGGACAGAGATGGAAGAAAAGAGGCCGGTTACTAAGGCAGTCAAGCCCAGCACCTAAAGAAACAACTAGGTCAGTCAGTGCTCAAGATTCTGATAAGGAAAGCTTCCAGAAAGGGCTTTGACTGGACAGTCAGTCTGCCATTTCCATGGAACTTGACAGGAGCTTCAGGTAACTGTTCCGTTTGCCATCAGCTGGCCTCCCCTTCTTTCATCTTTTCTTTTCCACCAAAACTCTGCTGTAGAAGAGGTGAGATAGCAGCCTTCTGACTGGCAGCATCAGGGGTGCCTCCAGATGGAAGGCTGTGACTACTAACAGTGATAAAACACCGTGCTGTTATTCCATCCTTCCTCAACCCATTCTATGTGCAAAAACCAAACAACAGCAAAAGCAACAACTCTCCCCACAAAAAGAAAAGAAAACCAAAAACCAAGAGGTAAGACAAGGCAGGATAGTCAAGAACCGAAGGTCACATCATCAGAACCTTCGGAGCAATTCAAATGTGATCTCAGTTTAGCCTTCACTCACAGATTTTAAATTTAAAATGAGGATGATTTTCCTTTGCAAGGGATTGTGTTTTGTTGAGTACTCAGCCTGAGGGTTCAGACCCATGTCTGGGTCATGCCCAGCCTGAAAGAGGATGTGCCGCTGGCAATACCATTTATGAATATAAGCAAAGAAGGTAACAGGGAGAAAGTAGTGGAGAAAGACATGCAAGACAATCACAGGAACAAGCTGAAATAAATGTTTCAAACTGGGGTCAAAACAGTGGGCTCCAAGTTTGTTGCCTGAATGTCTACGCTGCTTTCTCAATGTGCACAGAGTGGCTTTATGAGGCTTCAAAACATTTCAGCACTGAAGCATTACAGAAGTACTAGTAAATGCTTCATTCCACTGTTGGGAAAAATATCAAGAAGGTGTGAGGTGAAGGAAGAAGAACCATAGAAGGACCCACTGGCTGAAGATCAATCACTCAAACCAACGAACAAAATGGAATAACTTGTGGAACAACGTTAACAACATAAATTTTTAATCAACACAAAGTAGGGGAAGAATAAAAACGTTAGTGAAATGGTTCAAATTTCTAGAGTGAGAAAAATGAAACAGAAACAGTGCAAGTCAGAAGGGGTCTCCCGGGCCATCTAGTCTGACCCCCCGGCTCCAGCCGGCTCCGCTCATGACATGCCCAGATAGATTGAGCTAAAGCAGCCTCCCAGTTGGACAAAAGTCAGGCTAAGATCCACTTCACAGTTCACCACAAGTTAACTCTCACTTTGTTTGGAGGCACCAGGTTACCTTAGGCCTGGTTCTCCTCAAGCTGGGGAAGGGGAACAGGGCAATCCAGGTGTCCAGACCATGCCAGGTCAGAGCTCAGGTAGGGCCTCCTATGATCAAATGCTACTCCATACAAGTTCAGGCACGAGCAAGCAGCTCCAGTCTCGGTGGTGTGGTGTTCCACCCTGGGGTTCAGCCCAAACCTATGGAAACTGCTCAGCGCCAGAGATTGCTCCTGAAAAACTCAGACTAAAAGGCAGAGTGGAAACAAGCACTCTGCAAGCTCAAAGAAAGGTAGGCATCCAGGAGAGGACATCCAGCCTAGCCTTCCAGATATGGATATTCTATCATGGGGAGCGGAGAGGGAGACTCACGGACGATATCCAGTTCTGCTAGGATCCCAACCCAGCTCTCCCAAGGTCCTAATCTCACCACCACTGGGTCCTGCCCCCTTTCCCCAAGTTATTTCCCAGCTTTTCCCCACTCGAAAAGGTCAACAAGCCCCTCCTAAGGCTCTTTCAGTTGCAGTTAAGCTAAAATATTTTAGTGCTCGGGGGTATTTCTGATCCCTCCATATTGTACCCTTGGTTGGAGTAACAGCCAATTCTCTGAGGGTTTTGTATCAGACAGCATTGTTTACTGGCATCCATCCTGCTCTACACTCACCCAATCACGATATGGGGGTATTTCATTCGAAACCAGGCAGCAAGCATCCCTCCGTAAGATCCCCCTATGGCAATGACAGGAGTGTCTTGGGTCCCAGGAATAGTACTCTTCAGGTGCTGAATGAGCACTGCAAAATCAGCAAGAGCTTGCTCGGAAGATAGGTAGTTCAGGTGTTTGGCATCCTGAAAGAAAGATTACAGAACATTCGCATTGCAGAGTAAGTCTCTCCCAACACACTGCAGGAAGTAAACACAGTGCATTTCTCAGATGGCTCAAGGGAAACCATGGCACTTTGAGAGTTCAGGAAAAAGGAAACCGCAGAATCCACGCTGCAGCAGGCTTGACGACCTGCAGGGCATCAGCTCCTGAAGCCACTGGCATGGTCTCCAATAACGCAGGGGGACTCCCCGCAACACTGTCCCACCCACTTGCTAGCAGGATCTACACATTTGAACGGGCATGACAAAGGCACCATGTCCTTGTGAGAGATGTTCTGCCAGAGGTGGATGGATCCGTACTGCCAACTTACCAAAGGACCCCTTCCCAAATGTCAAATGGTGAAACTAAGCCAGTCACAACTTAGCAGGACTATAATCACCACTACTGGGCCACTCCAAAGAATCTTGGCTATATTTTACTAGTTAGCCACCCTGCCATCTGGCAATCTCTTTTGCAATTAATACCAAACTTCATTGTTATTCATTTCCCAGGGTGGTGACTTTTCATCCATTGCCCCAACTTTTCCAATTGTCTTCTAGACAGGACGTAAATTTTTGTATATCACTCTAGAAGCAACCGTTACTTCATACAGCAAAAGATACTTACTGTGAATGATTTGTTTCCAAAGGGCAGTGACTCTCCATAGTACCTGTGCTCAGCAAATATCAATATGGCATCAAGTTCTTCAGCTGCATTCCACATAAGACCCTGGAGGGCAGCAAAAGTTTTTTTTTGAAACCAGCAAAGGGAGAAAATGAGCACTTAAAGTGTCTGAATTCTTTCCTAAGCACTGTATAGGCTTCAATGACAATTGCTGGCTTGTAAGCAAGAATCCAGTCCTGTACTCACCGTATTATTAGCAAACCAGGTGATATCTCCTTCGTTGCCAGTGTAGAAGAGGACTGACCCAACGTCATGCTTCCAGTGCTGGTCTGCTATGAGGTAGCGCTGCTTGAATGTGCGATCTTCAGAAAAACCGAAATGGTCTATCTACAGCAACATACAGAAAGGAGCCTGTGATGGGAAAGCAGGTAAACATGGAAAACCCAAAGGTGCTGGGGAGTCGTTCATTTTGCATCCATCCACAGTAAACTCTGACTCTTGTTAGTGGGAGAGTCGTGAGCAGAAAGAACCCACTGCAAGGAAAGGCTAAAGAAGACAGCAGATGGAGCTGTTGTGTCATCTAAAAGTCTCTTCCAGTCCAACCAGAAGAAGCTGTTGGAAACCTTGGGCAGAGGTTGACCCATCTGGATGGCCTTAAGTCCTGCAGCAGAAATGTCAGAAAAGTTATGAACGGCTGTTATGTTTGAAGAAATGGCTCACCTAAGCATTGCAGCTTAACAGCAAACTGTACAAGGGATTCCCAGAGAACTTACTCTATACAGCAAAACTTCTATCAGTATTTACACAATTTTTATTAGAACCATCCAATATGGCTTTAGGGTCCTAAAAAGGGACACCCCACCCCAGATGGTTTGCAAGAACAAATATCTCAACACAACTAAGAATCCTGAAAGCATTATTAGCCAGAACACAAGCAAATAAAGCAACCCACCATCAGAAAAATTAGCATTAAATGTCTGATGAATAAAAGTGTCTTAATTGCCAGTCTAGACATTTTCAACCAACTGGCCAAGCTTGGGACAGAGCTCCACCAAGTCAGGGTGCTGCTAACAACAAGGTTCTGTCTGACATCTTCATGAGCAACAAACTACAAGCCAGCATCAAGGAACATGTAATTTATAAGCAGATAATATGAAACTGTGTCTGCATATCCCAGAATTCCCTAGGAATCGGAACTTGTTTATGAATGAAACCGCTTTATACCAAGCTGGAACTTTGGTTGGTTTCACTTAGTCTTGTCAGCTCTGATTCTGCTTGGTACAGATGCAATTCCCAATTTCTTAAACATAAATTATATCTACATCAATCAGTGCTGTAACTCAATTTGGCTTAAGTTAATGAGAATTTCTGAATTAGCTTCAAATCCTGCTTATACAAAGAAAACCAGAGCTGGTATTCACAAGTCTTTGGGTTCAGAAACTCCTTGCTATTTGGAATTACAGTTATTGTAAAATGCTGTTGTATATACATGATGTATATTTATAGTAAAGTGCCTGCACTACTTGTATCTGGGGCAACACAGTTAGATGTTGAAGGGTCATCTGCTAGCATTAGAGGAAACCATGGGATGTTTTCTGTGATTTAGTTTTAGAATCACAGAATAGTAGAGTTGGAAGGGGCCAGAAGGCCATGAGATCCAACCCCTGCTGCTGTAAGACAATAATTCACCCATTCCAGCTACACAAAGTGCACTTCTAGATTTTTACATCTGTTTCTGGAGACTTCTTCAGTTTCTGTTTCTGGAGACTTCTTCTTCTTCTTCAGTCCTCAACACATGATGAATCGTCATCATAGCAAGGGCAAGACCAATTGATTGGTCCCCCCCCCCCCGCTCTTCCCTTCCAATTTCGTTTGTGCTTTATCTTTTAAATTGGAGATCACCCAGAAGAAAGCACTCGCTTGTCTTCTGCTGCCATTGCTGGTTGATTGTGGTGGTGAGGAGGGGAGACCAAGCCAGGTTCTGCTGAATCTCACCTAGAGGAGACCCAGCAGAACAAGTCTCCATCTCGCTCCACAGTGAAGGATAAGTTGCATTCTCCTGCACTGCCTCAGGAAAAGGCTCAGGAGAACAAGACTCGTCCCTCTCTTTGCCCGGCAGGGCCCCTAGTGAAGAGGACACAGAAGAGTTGCTGAATAACCCTTCTCTTCCAGGATCAACAACATGGAGCTTCTGACACCTGCCTCCACATGCCGTTTGGGCACTAGGCAGCTATCATCCCCAGTCTTCCCTTAGTGCTCCCACAGTGTCCCCTTGAACACCAACAGGAGGATGCGGGGAAAGAGGTGCTTCAGGACCCCTGCCAAGGCACAGCAGGGGCCCAGGCTAATTTTAAGCCAGGATGGCCCAGGTTTAAGCCAGGTTTAAAGTCTTGTGCAAAACCTTTTCAGTTTTAGTGTTCACAAATGGGCTTAAATGTTAATTGGAAGTCAACTGGGGGACCTTCCTTGGATCACTATGTGAGTCATACATTTATAAATACATTTAAGGCCATGGGGGAAGTCTCCAAGGATTTAGTAGGACAAGGCAGAGGGTAAGAGGGCACATCCTGTCTGTGTTCTTTTTCTCCCTGTAAAAAGATGCAGGGAAGTTACAGGATATCCTCCTGTAGGTCACATCCATGCCAATAAGCTAAGCCACCTTTCCACTCGCATTTACACATACAATTTTAACCTTGGAAAGAGATCTGAAATTTCACAACATGGAAAGTACAACCATCCGGTTTTTGCATGTTTAGCCAAAAGTAACTTCTGTATTCATGTGTGCTTAGGACTGCAGCCTAAGGGCAGTTGCCTGGCTTGTCTGTGAACAGATGGCTGTTTACTATTATATCAAAATCTGTAAGAAAGAGTTGAGAATTTAGGACTGGAATAAAAAAGTATTGTTATAGGTCAGATGATGGACTTTACCAGTATGAAAAACATACACACCTATAGCTGACTGAACAAGAGGGTCTCCATCTTAAGAGATCACACTGAAAAGTCGGGATGACCATGATGATAGAAGAGGCATGAAACTTTAATGGCTAAGAAGCTTCTGCGTTCACTACGGGTATTTCCTCTCCTTAGGAAAAGCTGTCCAATTTACATGAGGCTGCTAAATAGCCTATTGACACATTCTTGGCTTAAACCCCACCAAAGTAAACAGCAAAGTCCTGAGAAGAGATTGCATTACTTGGGCCAGCTCCACCTCTTGAGCCTTGCTCTACAGTTTATGCTAATGCACGAGGGGTCAAGAAGTACTTTGCTCAAGGATATCGAGAAGCATGATATAGGGAAAACACCTGGCAAATACTGGATGTTGCTTTAATTGACAGGATCCAGGAGATGTCCCATCGTCTGAAGGGCTTTGCCTCATTCATCTGAACACTGTTTGCAGATAAGCTCCTTAAAACACCTTCCTCAATTCTTCCATCCCTGCTTTTCTATTCAACAAGATAAGGATTTCTGTATAGTATTATGCCAGAGTGGCATCAGAACAAAAACATTCAAGCAAATGACAAGACGTCTTCTGGGACCTTATTCCACAGTTAAGTTGGCTTTCAAGGGGCCACAGACCTTGTGGTTGTTTTTTCCTACCACAAATCAATACAGCTGCCCTTCTAAAAAGGAGATCAGCAGAGTTTAAAAGCTAAGGAAGAAGACAGGAAGACAGATCATTGTGCAACAACCCCCTTACCACCAGAAAAGGAAGTCAGCCTGGCAGTCTAGTTTCACTCGGTAGCTTTTGTTCCTGGTCCAGATAAAGAAATACATTTGAAGCTTCAAAAGCAGAAGGGGTGGAGAGAGAGAGAGAGAGAGAGACAGAGAGAGAGACAGAGAGAGAGACAGACACCGACAGAGGCGAGAAATTACATCCTACTGGATATTTATCATCAAATGCATACCCTTTTGGATTTTATTCAGAATCCTGTATTATGAGGAGCTTTTTATTCCGGGGAGAATACCGGCTTTATTGTTCAGCTGCAAGTCAAGCATTAAGCAGAAGAATGAAAGGCCCTGTTGAAAAGCTTCCAGGTTTGCTGTATTTCACCAGGGCAGACACCACCTCAAAATAAGGAGTGGGTTGCACATTCTGATGAAGACAGTGGCTCCCCACTCCCTCACTGCACCACCCAAAGTTGCTCCTTCCAAGGCAATTAGGTTAGATACGCTTGCAATTTCACAACATGTGCTTTGCATTAATACTTCGCTGCTGAACAGTCACATTACTTTGCTGAAGTCATGCAGGACTCATGTCACACAGTTAACTGAAAACTATACCAGAAGAAGGAAACTATCCAATGCGAACTCTCCTCCCTTGTCAATTAAATTCCCCAGAGATTTGCCCACAATACTTGGCTATTTTCAGCTAGCCTTATGAAATAGCAGTTCTGTACCTCCTAAAATTTTGATTAAATAAGGATGCCCTTAAACAACAGTCTAATACGGGCTTCCTTTTGTTTGCAATCACATTTGGATTTTAATTACATATGCAGCCATCCCTGCACACAGATGTTGCCTGGAGATTGTTCCCATATGGCTTAGTCATTTATGAAGTGTGATCCTAGATACTTTTTATTCAACTGCAATGTATGGTCTCAAAACCTGGTGCTTCAGAACAACATGCATAAAGGGGTCTCTACCCCTAAGAAGCTTACGAACTACAGGTGGAGACTTAAGAGCTACTGAAGTACCACAAACATGGTCAGGCCTGCCTGAAAGTAAAGAGGTTGCTTGCTATTGTTCATCCGAAACCTCCTTCAACTCAAGCTTCTTCTGGTTCATTTTTTGACAAGCTGTCAAGCAAAGACCATAAACCAGGAGAGAGCGAGCGAAGGCAAAGTTCCCTTCAGATCGTGTCCAAGCGTGTATTCTTGTGAAGCAATGCATGTTACCATCCTAAATCAAACCAAAAGCAGCCTAAAATACTTGAGTTTTCAATTGATTTATTATTATAGCTTTCCTATGCAGCAAGGAGCCAAAGATTTGGCTTCAGGTCAGTGGCGTTTCTTCAGAAAGGATAGCTGCCCTTCCTTCAAGAGGGGTCTGACACATAACCGGGAATTTCCCATAAGCGCAGATTTCTGCACAAAACTCATGAATAGCCAAAGGTTTTTGAATGTGCACTGTGAACCGATACGGCATTAAATGAGGAACTCTGCTGCAGCCATCCATTTTGCCAAATTACTGGGGCCTTCAGCTTCAGTCATGCCACCGTTCTAGCTAGCAAGATGTGACTGATTCTAGTTTATGTGGGCTTGTGTGATTCCTGACTTTCTTTGAACAAGCTCCTATGCTGGTTAATGCTGCGGCTTATCCATCTCCATCTGCAGCCATTCTCCTTGGCTGCGAAAGAGGAAGAGGGGCTCCATAGTTCAAACCCAGTATCAATCAATCAATACCAACAGCCTGGAATAGCAGCAGCCATATTGGCATCGGAAGATGGACTGGGCAGAGCACTCTGAGGAACACCTGCCCCACAGGAGCTCTTTGCCATGACTGTCCTTGAGGCTGCAGGGCCTTGACAACCGGACCTCATTCCAGACTCATTGGATTCATCAAAAGCACTTGGTATTCTGGACAGAAAGCTGATTGAGGTGGGACATTCCTCTTGCAGAAGAAATTCTGTCAGGGTGGTAGTATTTATTATTTATTTATTTA